ACCCTCATCGTGTATGTATGCTAGCTGTCTTTCCTGTCTCTTATACACATCTAGATGTGTATAAGAGACAGGCCTCAAACACATCTGATTTTTTTTTCTTTTCTCTTTCTTGTCTGACATCGTTCGAAGGAAATGTCCTCGGGCGACGTCCTCGAGGACAGGTGGAACGATGGCGGGAGTTTCCTTGAAAACCCCCAAGGAAACTTCCTTCGGCCCCGAGACCGCCTCGGGGAGTGTCGAACGAGCCCCTATTTTTAAACAGTTGTTTTTTTCTTTTTTTTTGGCTCTGTCGTCATTTCTCTGTGATGATGCCTAAAAATACCTGGATCCAGGTGGGGCAGGACAACCTGTGGTCCCTGTTTTTGACTATCTTGATCATGTAACTGCCTTGGGCACTGGGCCTTGTTAATAAAAGCGCAATTTCGGAAAAAAAAAAAAAGAAGAGAGAATTGACTTGGGCTAAAAATAGCTGGATTGAGAATTAACTTGCGCTACAAATAGCTGCATTGACTATTAGCTTGGGCTAAAAATAGCTGCATTGGGAATTAACTTGGGCTAAAAATAGCTGCATTGAGAATAAACTTGAAGTAATTCATAGGTGACGCTCCCCACCAATAGATGGAGCCTCTCCCCAGGTGTTAGTGGTGTCTGCTCTTATCAGCAGCACTAACACTGGTGGTGGTGTTCTCAAAAAAAAAAAAAAAAAAAAAAAAAAAAAAAAAAAAAAAAAAAAAAAAAAAAAAAAAAAAAAAAAAAGAGGGGGGGGGGGGGGGGGGGGGGGGGGGGGGGGGGGGGGGGGGGGGGGGGGGGGGGGGGGGGGTGGGTGTGTGGGTGCGTGCGTGTGGGTGGGTGGGGTGGGTGGGTGCGGGGGGGGGGGGGGGGGGGGGGGGTGGGGGGGTTAGATGTGTATAAGAGACAGGTGGGTGCGTGGGTGGGGTAGGGTGTCGGGGTCTGAGGGTATACAAAATCAAAAATTAAAAAAAGAAAAGAAAAAAGGGGCCGGGGCACAAAACGACACTTTCTTGCAATCCGACGGTGGGCGCGTTTAAATATTAATGCACATCGATGCCCGCCGTCTACCCAGCCCCGTAGGCGCGCTCTCTCGTTTAGTGGCGCGCTGTGAACAATTCTGTACGCGCGCCACTCTGCACAACGCCCCTCCCTCGATCGCCTTCATCCACCGGCCCGAATCAAAACTTCGGGCCGATTTCAGCGCGCAGCGGAAC